CCCCCCCCTTACCCCCAACTAGGTTGGAGGTCAATCACCACATATCGAGTTATACTCATTCTTGAGAAAGATCAATATTGGAGCATATCCTTGTGTGACTTTGACAGAGGTCATGCTCAATCATCATCTCGAGTCGTATATCTGGGCCGATCCACGTTGGATAAAGATGAATGAGGATATTGCAATCGTGGTCACATTGATTAATGATCTGGTGTCCTATGAGAAAGAGGTCAATGACAATGCCGGTGATCTGAATCCACTGTTCTTCTTCCAACGCCAAAACAATGTGGACCTATGCGACTCTTACAAACAAATGGTCACTCTGATAGACTATTACGTGGACCATTATGTACAGCTCGAGCAAGGATTCCTTCGAACGTTGGCCAAGTATCACAATCCATTACAAGAACAAGAGGTCAACTTCATGCTGGATCATCTGCACTATCTTATCACTGGTTCGCGAATGTGGTCGATGCAAACTCCAAGGTATTGTTCACCGACATCACCATTTATCGAAATGAGAAAGTTCCGTGAGGCTTAAAAGGTCCTCCAAGGTTATATATTAAATTGTAGTCTATACCTAATTCATTGTCCTCGTTGTTATGGAACATGATTCCAAAACAAGAGAATGTTGATTGTATGATTGGAATGATTCCAAACAACTAAAACATTTTGTCAACATCATTATGATCTTATTCCAAAGGATCGATCAATAATGACAATCATCATAATCATCAATATGTTGTTTCTTTGATCATGTGAACAAGTGATCGAAGAAGAACACCCCATCTTCGTCATGTTCACCGGGACCATGATTCCCCAAATTGTCCGCTTCCATCACCACCTTCGAAATGAACTTGAACATCGTTCAATCTTAACATTGAACATTCTCAACCAAAGCTAAACATATTAGTTAACTATTAGTATCTATGTTTGGAGGTATATCAAGGAGACTATTCACATCAGTTACATCATCAGCAACTTTAAAGAGAATGCTCATCGTACCAGTACCCGCATTATCAGACAACTACAGCTACTTGCTAGTAGACACCAATACAAACAAGGCCGCAGCTATTGACCCTGTCAACCCAGAGGGCATGACACTAGCCGCTCAGAAGTATGGTGCAAAGATAGAAGCAATACTCACAACTCATCATCATAAGTAAGTTAGTAATTGATTGAATGAATGAATACATCTCTAATGAACATCTATATAGTGATCATGCAGGTGGCAACAAAGTAATGAAGACATTGTTGCCAGAGACAACACCTGTATATGGAGGTGATGATCGTATACTTGCTATCACTCATAAGGTCGGGGACAATGACGTCATCAACATTGGTGACCTAACAATCAAGGTGTTACTATCTCCCGCTCACACTACAGGGTATGTTAGATAGTGAGTACAAGATTGATTAAGTGACCTCTACTCTAACACTTTCAATCATAGTCATGTGCTATACTATGTAAGCGATAAGAAGGACACACCATGCTTGTTCACAGGAGACACTTTGTTCATTGCTGGATGTGGTAGATTGTTTGAGGGTAGTCCTGCTCAGATGTATCATGCGTTGTACAATGTTATCGGATCATTACCAGACGACACTTTGGTCTACTGTGGACATGAATACACATATAAGAATCTACTATTTGCCAAGTCATTGGAGCCAAACAATCAAGACATACTGGTACGTATAACCTCCTCCTGAGCTTGATCAGTCATCTCTAACTATGGACAACACAATAGAACATGTTGGAATGGACCGAGAAACAGTTGGAAGAGAAGAAACCAACTGTACCATCAACCATTGGCAAGGAGAAGTCTTTCAATCCATTTATGAGAGTTCATCTTCCATCAGTAGCCGAGCATCTTCTGAAAGATGTACCAGGTTCCTCTCCAGAAGATGTGTTGGGACACATCAGGAAATTGAAGGACAGCTTCCAACCAAATAAATAATGTACACATTCATCATGATGATGTCCAATGTCCTTTATGACTTTATTTAACAACATTGAAAGTACTTACACTTGGGTGGAGATAACTTGGTTGATTGTTTGATTGATTGGAGACATAATAATGGTGGATGATGGCCATCATGATGTGCGTCCACCAAAGGTCATGCTGAACACCATCATTACTTACTTACCAACATACAGAGATATGAATGAACATTTGGATAATATATATGGAATGCCAATAAGAAAGATGAGGACATTTGGATTGAACTTTAAAGATCTTCCAAGACAGAGGGATACTTTGGAAGAAATGAAGGGATGAAGGAAGAGAGTGAGATTGAATCTGCGCAGATGAATGAATGAATGAATGCATGATCGTTGTAAACAATGTTTTGTGTGTCTATTAATGGGATATGTTTGGTATTACCCCATCCATGGGATATTCTCCCTCGAGGGAGATAGAGGTCTTCTGAATACATATGGTCATCATTGATTGATTGACTATTTGATTGATTGATCGAGTGTTGAAATTGACTATGACTGAGGTCCTAAGCCTTGTTGATGTGCGTGTGACGGGGGAATTAACTGGCCTTCTTCCTTGTTGCAGTGGTCTTCTTCTTCTCCTTCTCCTCGGTGACAGTGCCAGCAGCGACAGTGGTACTCTGATTGAGGAGCTCAGTCTTGAGAGTCTCGATGTGCTCCACCAGATTGGTGCCCATAGTGTCGATCTTCTCCTCGACATTGAACAACTTGTTGGAGAGTGCATCGATGGGATAGAGCTTCTTCATCATTGAGCCACCAAATGAAGCGTCCTTGTTGGATGTGTCCAGCAGTCGCTTGATCTCATTGAATGAGTTGTCAATGTGCTCCTGCTCGGCCAGGTGCTTGTTGCTGTTGTTCACCGCCCTGAGCTCGTGCAGTGTGTCCATGAGTCTCTTGTTGCAGTCCTTCACGTCCATCTTGATGTTGGTGATGTCTGACTTGAGATAGCTCAAGTCGAGCTGGAAGTTGGAGATGTGGTTCTGGAGGTCCTTGATGCGGTCGTAGGTCGAGTCGCTGATCTTGCGCGCCGAGTCGTCAATCTTGCGCGTAAGCTTGTCGCTCATGCTCGACACATCCTTTCCAATCTCGTTCATCTCGGACTTGAAGTAGTCCTTCTGAGTGTTCTGTTCTCTGATCTGGCGCTTCATTTCATCCATGACCTGGAAATTGAGGGATTGAGAATTGAAGAGTGAGTGAAAGGGGGAGAGAGGGAGGGAGCAAGAGAGCATTGAATGGTCATTGTGAACAATGAATAAGTGGTGTGCGTAGTCACTCTTCGCGCGAATGACGTTACACCATTTGACAAGTAGGGGATGCTTGAAAGATGAAATGTACGAACAGACTGACGAGACTAAGACTAGACTGATGATTGATTGATTGAATGAATGATTGATTGAATGAGAGTATTGTGATAGTTACCATGTATATCTCCTTTGACAGACTCTCACGAACATGCTGCAGTTCATTGTAGAGTTCCTGTGTGAGTACCAGTGATGTTGTGGTCGAACTTGGTGGGATGTCGACCTTGATGTAGTTGTTGCCATATGATGACGAGGTCGATGATGATGAGGTTGTGTATGACGAAGAGACATTGCTAGATTGTGATGTTGGAGCAGCAGGGGCAACAGCAGCAGCAGCAGCAACAACAAGATCACGAGAGGTTGCTTCAGAGACTGATGAGAGGCTACCATTGGGTACATCTGGGCTATCGCTGAACCTTGATTGAATGTTGTTATTGTCAATGTTGTCATTGTTGTTGTCATTGTTGTTGTTGTCATTGCTGTCATTGTTGGGTGCCACCACCATGTCATACTCAGAGTCTTGAGCGGCAATGCTACTGAGATTTGAGTTGGATGGCGTGAGGGACGCGGTGGCAGACTGATCATGCATAGTTTGATCGGGTGTGAATTCTGATTGATCGTCGCACATGTTGAGAATTGGATTGTCGTCTTGGCCATCAGCGTCGTTGATGTCATCTTGAGTGTCATCATTCTCATCGTCATCGTCAATGTCATTGTCCTCGAGGACCTCTTGGGATGTGATATCATCCCTCACCTCGCCCTCCTCCTTGTCCTTGTTCTCGCTCTCAAGAGTGGACTTATTGAGGTCGGTGTCTTCATTGGACGCGGCTACCTCCATCAAGCGGCTGTTGATTGAAGGTGATGGAATTGGAGATCTGTCTCTAGACTGTGAACGAGATAATGAGAGTCTCTTCTCAGGTTGTTGTTGCTTTTGCTGGGATGGTGAGATATCATATGAACGCGATGCTGGTTGTTGTTGTTGAGGTTGAGTTTGAGTTGGTTGAGGGGGTTGTTGAGTTGGTTGTTGTTGAGGTTGGTAGTGTTGTTGGTGATGTTGTTGTTGTTGTGGTTGATATTGTTGTTGTTGCTGCTGTTGGTGATGTGACTGATTGTTACTCAGTGATTGTGGGGATGTCGACTGGCGAGTTGGCGAATATCTATTTTGTTGTTGATATGATGATTGTCTATCATTGTTCTGATATTGTTGTTGTTGTTGTTGCTGTGGCTGGTAATGCTGCTGCTGCTGATGATGTGATTGCTGCTGCTGCTGCTGATGCTGATGATGTGACTGCTGGTGATGAAGTGGCTGACGGTCATTGCTCTGATGTTGTTGTTGTTGATATGGGGAAGAGTTTGATGATCTCTGCACATCGTTTGACGAGTAGGATGATCGGGATTGTGGCGATGGGGTTTGGTAGTTATTGTTTGAGCCACGTGAGTTGAATGAGCCATTTGGTGAGGTGAATTGGCTGCCGCCGCTGCCTCCTCCTCTGGGTGGTGATTGATTGCGACGTGGTGGTGAACGGGGTCTGTTGTTGTCATGTGACATAGCCATGCTCCTATTCCTTTCATTGGAGTTGCTTCTACTTCTTGATCTGCCTCTATGTGGCTGGGCCATACTACCAACTTGTGATTGTCTATAACCATTGTTATTGTTGTTGCTATTGTTGTTGTTGTTGTTGTTACCACCTTGGTAGTGATGCGAAGAGGGTGGACCACCACTGTTTGGACCAGATGAGTTAAAGGATGGAGGACCTTGTGGAGAGTAATGTCCATTGGGACTTCTACCTCTAACGGGACTGCCATATCTTGTTCGTTTGTTCATTCTATCGAGTGATCTCGACCCTTAACGAATGAACGAATGATTGATTGATTGATTGATTGAACGAAATGAAATGAATGAATGAGTATGTGATTAGGTTGAGCATATCACATGACCAAGCAACATGAATGAATGAATGAATGAATGAATGTGATAACATACTTGATCTGTTTCGAACTCTTGTTGGTGACGAAGAGTTCTTGGGAGGATTGTTTGGAATGGTTGCATAGTTGACCATCAGGGATACGTTGTCGATCTTGTAGTTGTTGTATCGGATGATGGCGCGCTCGGCCTCCTCAAGGGTGCTGTACTCGATGAAACCGTAGCCCTTCCTCTCGATGAAGTTGGTGTTGAGCACCTTGCCAATCTGGTTGAACAGGCCAGTGATGCGGTCCGGGTGGATCAGATCAAAGTCACAGCCAATGTAGATTCTATTGTTTGGGGCTGGGTTTGGAAGCACGGGCAGTGTCGACTGTCTATTTCCGACCTTTGAGCTCGAGTACGCAATGAATATCTTCTTTCCCATTACCGATGTAGATTGTAACTGATTGATTGCCTCAGTAGCTTGATGTTCGCTTTGATATTCCTAAGTGAGTGATGAATGTTAGATTGTTGTTTGATGAATGTTTGATTGATTGAATGAATGAGTGTAGTTGATACTTACAACAAACCCGTAACCTCCCTTCCATGAATGATTCATGATCTTGCCATACTTTACAAATAACTCGTGCAAGTCTTGTTCATTGAATCTAGTATCATCAATCTTGATATAAAGTTTGTTTGAGGGTAGATTTGAGTTCATCATTCTCTCTAACTTATATATAAATGTTTGTATATATATATCTTGTACAAATAACAATGAATGATGATTGAATGAATGAAGATGTGAGATTATGAAGAAGAGAGTGAGAGGATATCAGGTGAAGTGTGTTGGCAAAGTCAGTTTGTTGCAGATTGCTTTGATTTGTTGAGATTCTAACAAAAAAAAAATTAAAAATAATATTTAGATGGGTGCGAAATGAGGGAATCATCAAAGAGTCGCGTCTCATCAGCAAGCATGTAGAGAAGGCAAGCAATAGTATCGTGTGGTCACGCTACCCTCCCATCATGTCCCAATCGGGATATCATCATAGCCAAAGGGTGGGCCTAAGAGGCCGTCAGTGCAAAGGGGGCGAGTCCTCGACGATGATGGTTGAAATGATGGGTACAATCAGATGAGCCAAATACCCATGGGCGAGAGAGATACAGAGATAGAGGGATCATGCCATGTTTGAATGATTGAAGATGAATGATTGAATGATTGATAGATAGAGATAGAAATGTGCGCAGGTTGTTGTTCGTTTGATGTTATTTACAATGATTGGACTATGGCGGCCACATCACTTTGGAACATCTTTGAGTCAATCTTGGTGTTGGGCTTATAGAATGGATTGCTAGTTGTCTTTACATATCGCAGATGTAGACGTTTGAAGAACTAAAGGGGGATTGGAAGTAAGTGTAAGTTCAAGGTCATCGAGTCATGATCACATCCTTCATTCTTGATGACACGTACAGTCTTGATATCAGAGTCCTTGTTATCGGTAGTGTCAAACACTACAATGATGAACTTGATCTTTGTGTTGGTCAAGTAGCCATAGACCTTATACTCATCAGTGGGATAGAGCAATCCCAGATACATCTCATTCGATATTCTCTTTGTTCCAGCTTGATTGATTGAATGTCGAGTATAAGTGTCAGTCAATGTCTGTGCCATTGTCTGTGCCATTGTCTGTGTCTGTGGACGACCTACGTTTATCTTCAATGATATCCAATGCACAGTGTACTATATAATGTAACTTCAACTTGTTGTCCTCTGATCCACCTGAGTAGTCATGTATGAACAGTGGATCATTCTACCAATGTTTGATTGATTGTGATTGATTGATTGATTGATTGATTGAATAAGTTAGATTGATTGTTCGATACCAATACACGTTCTAACCAACACATACATCTTTACCAACTATTGCTACAAATACAATCTTCTTCATAGTTATACAATACAATATATATATATTATCTCTAAATGGTCACAATCTTGATGAACTTTGAAGACCAAGGGAGGGGGGGGTTCTCAACTTTCAAACAAATGAAGTGTGTCATTCGAACTTTATTCGTCTCGCTCGACTATTCATTCATTTACAAGATACATATACATATAGAATGGAAGCATTTCAAAAGATACATCCATTGGAGTTCTATAGGAAGTTCTTGGAGAGAGATGTTAGACCAGATGGAAGATCACTTACAACACTGCGGAAGACGACTGTTGCTACTGGCTCAATCCTGACGGCAGACGGCTCGTCATTCGTAAAGATAGGCAACACTTCAATAATATGTGGTGTTAGGGCAGAGGTAGCAGAGTATCAAATCAACAACAGCAATAACAACAACAATGGCAACAGCAATGGCAAAGACAACAAAGGTGGCAACACATCGACAAGTGATGCAACAACAACTTCTACTACCACATCACAACGTTATTGTAAAGATCAGATATGTATGTATCCATTCCATTCAATCAATCAAGGACAAACGAATGACGATCACTCACTCACTCATTCACACTCAATCAATCTCGGACACATCATCATTGTCATTGATCAATCAAAGTTGTAAATGTCGAACTTGGACCAATATGCTCAAACATATTCTCATCAAGCAAGCCTTCAGAGAAGGCTATGACATTGTGTTCACAGATGAATCGATTGGCAAACCTGTTGGAGATTGAACAGAGCGAACTTAACTTTGACAGCGAGGGCCGTTTTAGATGGTACCTCTACGTCGACCTATACTGTCTGGACTACAATGGAAACATATTGGACGCGGCCATCATCGCCATGCTGACGGCGCTCAAGAACGTGCGACTGCCACGCGGCATCGTCGAGGACGGCGAGCCACTGAGAGACTGCGACAGCATGCGCGTCCTCAATGTGCCGACCTACTTCTCGCCTCTGACCTTTGCCCTGATCGACGATTACGTGCTCTCGGACCCATCACTGGAGGAAGAGAAGTTGGCCAGTGGCAGCATCACCCTGGTGTACAATCAACACGGCGACATCTGTCTGTCCGTGGTAAGCAGCACAGCCAGCATTAACGACAATACTCTGCAACAGTGCCGAGACAAGACCAAAGAGCGTATCAAAGACGTTATCGACCTAATCGATCAATCATGTACTGTTCAATCCATTGTTTGATCGATGATAGTAATAAACCTGTCACTCATACATCAGTAGTGACTCGAGATCATCTTATAGTTTGTTGTGTAGTCGCGTGTATATCGTTTATTTGTTGATCGCTAGAGTGGCTGATGTCTAGACCTTGGCCATGCTGGAGGAAATCTCCTCCTTTGTCTTCTCCTTCAACAGCTTTGCGTACTCCACAACATTCTTCTGTCTCTCCAACTCCTTCAACTCCATTTTCTGTGATTGTGATGTTGTTAGTCATGCGCATGATCATGATGGTGATTACCATCATCGCGAGTGACGATAGACATACGTTGATCTCCTCAAGCTTCAGCCTGGCAAACTCAAACATAACAGAGTTCTCGCCGGCTTGATAGTAGAACCTTGACTTCTTGGTCTTTTTGGTGTATTGGTCCTGTTGACGCGTGATGTAGTCTGGGTCCCAGAAGGCTCTGACGAGTGAGCGCGCAGTGACAGCGCGTGGTGTCACGTTGGGCGACAGGTCGACCTCCTCGCGCGACTCCTCATACTTGATCTTGTGGATCATGTCGAGCAGGTCAGAGGTGGCATTCTGTGCACTGGACGCGTTTTCGGCTTCGGTGCTGTCGACGTTCTGTGCCTCCATCTTGAGTTTGTTCTCGTCCTTGATCGCAGGTGGTAGACATAATGCCTCCAGTGTCTCTGAGCGACGAATGTTGTCCCAATTGACTGTCTCTGTCCTTATGCTGTTGTACATTCTCCTTGTGACCATCTTCTTTACGTATGATCTTGTTCCTGTTGGTTGTTGAGGTTGTTGCAGTTGAGGTTGTTGCTGCAACACCACTCTCTTCAACAGAGAGGTGGATGATATCAGCTGTGATGTATTGCTAAATCTCAACATGTCTTCTTATATTTGTTTGATTGATCGAGAGAGATAATAAATAATGCGAAGAATGATTCAACTTGAACAAAAAAATTGAAAATGTGTGAGGGCAAGGGTAGGGTAAACGAGGGCAAGGGCGAGGGTAGGGTAAGGGTATGAGCCGAGCTAGACCTTAGCTAACGGGTCTCAATAACGTGTATTACTTTATATGATTGAGAAAGAGGAGGAAGAGGAGGAGGAGGTTGAGGCAAGTTGTAATGTATATATAATTTGATTGTTTGTTGTTGGTTGATGTTGAAGTGTGTAGAGTTGGTTTGGATCAACTATTATGTTTGATGGTAGTACAATATCTGGATGTTGGTTGTTGATTATAGGAGTTGATGTTGTTGTTGGTGATGGCGCTACTTGTTTGGGTTTGTTGTTTGGTGTCATGTGATTCATAATGTTCAAGTCCAACTTGAAATCGATTGTTGGATATATTGTAGGTTGATGTGATTCGTCTTTGTTGCCAATGGCACGCTTGCCACCTCGACCACCAAGTCCACGTCCACCATCATAATCATCATCACTTTGGAAACTCTCTGCAGAGTCATCAGAGTCATCAGATTCAATCTGATCGAGAAGGAATTGATACTGTGAACGTGTGTCGTCGTCATCTCGGAAGCCTCCAGCAGCAGCGAGTGATGGCCCGCTAGATCGCCCACTTGCACCATTGGGATGCCGGTAGCTCTTGGAGAACTTGTACATGACGATCAGGAGCATAGGCCCCACGACCACGACGGTCGACAGTGCTGAGTAGAAGCCTCGCATAGGGCCCCATTCTGAACCAAAGAATGAGTCGCAGTAGTCCTTGGAGCAGTGCTCAAAGTTGTCTTTGCGCATGTTCATCGTGAGCGAGAAGAATGACAGTGTGGCCAGTGTCTCAAAGACCAGGGCGGCCACCAACAGGTATCGACCAACCTTGATCATTACCCTACTGTACTGACTGCGCCACAGTAGCAGCTTGAACAACATTGCCAGGTTGGCCACTATGACCAACACACTGAGTATGAGGAATGCCAATGTTGCGCTGAACGTCTGCTTAATATGCATGTTGCCATAAGACAAGTGATTGGCAACTCCATCTTGATGTGTTACATTCTTTGATTCATGAATCATGTGATTGATTGATTGAGTTATCGAGCGAGTGTGTGAGTGAGCGATTGAGAGATGATTGATCGACTTGATTGATGTCTCATACCTGTGTTTGATAAGTGAACCAACCGAATGTTATTGATGTTTCATTGATGTCAATAGAGTACCATGGTGTGAATATCGCCATGAACAATGCAATAGCGTTGAGTGCATTGAGTATTGTTGTGGCCAGATGCCCCAGCCTCTTGAATGAGACCAGTTTACCCATTCATGTGATGATGACAGTATTGAGCTTACTAATATATGTATATCTATATCTGTATCTGTATCAGTTTTCTCGGACATTGAATGATCGGTCGTCTTTGGATTTTTTGATCAGTCTAGTGTGTGTGGGTGGGTGGGCAGATCGTTTCCTAATTGGGAAGTGAGGAAGTGATTGATCAATTTAGGAGTTCCAAATGAAATCTAGATGGTTATTTACAAATACTAACTGTTTAAAGTTAACCTCGTCATCATTAATTAATCATCAAAGATCAATCACCATAACAATTTATGATTGATTGAGTGTGATCCTTTAAAAGGAGGATAGGATTCATTGTTAGATTGGGGAGTGGTTCCAGTGCATAGATGCAATAGTTATCAACAACCAACTGACAATCTGCGTACAGAGTAGCAACTGTGATAACAGGTGCTACAAAACCATAAAAACAACCTAGAGCAGGCTCTAGCAGAGTACTGCCAAACAACAAATGAGGATGTCAAACCTCAGGACGTTGCGCCAACACTGTCCTCCCCTTTTGGACTGGAATGGAATGGAGGTCGCTGGATTGACATGATGGATGTTGGTTGGAACTAGCTAATATTGTTTATTTGGTCTTGGCGGTGACAGATTTGGTGTCGACATTCTTTTCGGCAGAGAAGTTGATCAATTGTGAGACCTGTCCCTTGAAGGCAGCAGTCAACAATGATCCTCCAATGCAAAATGGTACAAGGTATAACAGAGCAGGCTAAATGAATAAGAAGATAGTGAGTGAGTGAGTTGAATGATTGAATGAAGTGAGACGTTAATGAATGTATGAATACATACTTGAGCAGCCTGGAAGGTGTGCATGACAATGATGGTAGTTGCAAGACCAAGTGCATAGGCGATAAGATTGCTGACAAAGTAGGTGGTGGACATCTTCTTGCTCTTGCCAGAGATGTGTCTGTCAAACTTGAGGAGGAGGGCAATGAAGATGCCTGGCAAGACAATGTCGCCCAGACCCAACATGGAGAATTGGTACTCGGCGGCAAAGATGTTCTTGGGGAACAGCAGCTTGATTGGAGCGTCAAAGCTCTTGGCGACGGTGACCATGACGTCAGTGCCAAACACCCAGAAGATGTCGTACAGGAACAGACCGCTGAGCAGGATGACGCCGACGCTGTAGTCGTGCAGGCCAATCAGCGAGATACCCTGGATGGAGAATGTGATGCCAAAGATGTTGTTGGCGATCCAGTGCTTGGTGGTGATGTACCACACAGAGAACGAGGCCGACAGGGCAAAGGTGACAATGTCGTAAATGTCGATCTTCACGTCGACCTTGTCGGTGATGAAGCGAATCGATGGGATGGTGAAGGCAACCAGTGGGCGCTTGTTCTTCACTCCGTTCAAGTACCTCAACAGCTTGCTCATCAGCTGGGTCAAGGCAAACACTCCAAACACCAAGAAGTAGTATGAGAGCAACATATTGATCACATTCTTGTCAAAGAACTTGAACAACAAGTACAATCCAAACAAAAAGACACTTCCAAACAATGGGAATGCCCATGCATCGCTCTTGGTCATTGACTCTGCCTGTGAGTTGTTCATCATTCATTGAATATCAAAGTTAGTGTCCGTTTGTTTCCCTGTCTCTGTTGTTGCTACACAGTCTGCTGTTGCTCCTGCTTATAACATACTGATGTTTCCTTCAAAGACATGTATGATCCAATATAGATTGGAACGATGGCCATCGTCCAGATGGCGGCGTAGGCAATCAACAATCCTTGATCAAGTTCAGTTGCCATTCTATATTATATATATATTATATCTATCTGTTATATAAGTAAGTAAATAATGAATCAAGTATTGACAATAACAAGAATATGAATTAAGGAAGTAAGTAGAAGGATGACAAGTTGTTGGATAGATGGATGGATGAGGGGTGTGGTTCAGTCAACTAAACTTGAAGCATCACTCTTTACAACATCCTCTTGAATAATGACACACAACTTTATCTATGTTCACACACATCATTTCATTTTGGGGGTTGTTTGTTTGCAAGTGTCGACACTCATTCAATTCAGAACTTCTAGGACCAAGTCAAAAAAAGTCCAACATCATCTTGATGGACCCTTTGACCACTATTATCTCTATGACCAACACTTCCCGTTATGATGAATGAATCCAATTATAACTTCTTAGTCTATCAAAATAGACTTACTAACACAAACTAATAACTACTACTACTACTACTAGACTACAATACATAGTGTCATGAAGCATATTCTTGTCTCATCTGTCGGGTATTCTTTCGGTATCTCGAGTGTAGAATAACACAAACTATTCTCAAGGTTTGTCATCTATCAAACAAGATGATGATCATCGGTATTTGCTCCCCTTTTTACATGTATAACGACATGTGGACAGACATAAAGACACACTCCCGAACACCATGTGTGGGCCGGGGCACTCTCTCGATCAAACTGTATTAATTTGTTAGATTGACATGAACAAAGTGCCGTCCGTTCCCACAGGTCCAAATTGAAATTGACAGATATTTGTGTTCCAAAGAGGTCCTACAACTGGTGTTGGTGATGAGGACCAGTTGTAGTGTGTACGTGTGTGTATGTGTTGGTACCTTGGATCAATCAAAGTAGGAAAGGGAGGGAGGGCTTCACCCTACCTACTACCCCTGATGTAGTATTATACATAACACTCTCATTCTTCTTTAGATCATTCCATTAAACATAAACATAACATATAATAATATACTTTATACTTTATACTTTAAATAATGGGTATCCGTATAACTATTTGTTTGTTGTTGGCTATGGCTTTGGTTGTGGCCAATGCTCACCAACTTCAACAACAAGTCGATATCAATCACGACGAATCGAATACATTTGGTGGAGCCAAGGCTGTTTTGACATGCGATCTTTGTAAGACTGCCGTCAAATCATTGCAAGATATCGCTGGCTCTGGATCAGAGACCTGGCACAACGACGTCATCGACTTTGCCATCGAATTCTGTACCCTATTCAAGATTGAGAAGGCCACTGTCGTAAGTTAGACTCTCATGGCGCGCCACCCGGAATCATTCCAATCACTCAATCACTCACTCAATCACTCATGATCGATCTCACACATATTTAGTGCCAGGGAATCATCCCACTTTACAGAAACGAGACATTCGAGATCGTGGCCAATCGTGCCTACCAACCAGAGTACATTTGTGGCTTTGTTGGAATATGTCCATTCAACCCAGCCAACTTTAGTGGCCAGGTTAACTTCCCAACACCAAAGCCACCCCATGTGGCCCCAGTCATGCCACCAAAAGGCGGCCCAACCAAGACCATTCTGCATTTGACCGACTTCCACATTGACCAGTTCTACGTTGCCGGTATGAACGCCGAGTGTGGTGAGCCAGTCTGCTGTCGCGCCGTCAATGGCCCAGGTAGCGGCACATCAGCCGCCGGCGAGTGGGGCGACTACCGCTGCGACGTCAACATGCCAATGGTACACAACATGATGCAGAACATCGTGGCCAGCCACCCAGCCCCAGACTACATCTTCTGGACTGGTGACAACCCACCCCACGATGTGTGGATGCAGACTCAGGAGACTCAGCTCAACGCGTCGGCTGTCATCACCGACGTGCTGGCCAAGTACTTCCCAGGCTCACAGGTCTTTGCTGCGATTGGCAACCACGAGGGTGTGCCCGTCAACTCATTCCCCGAGCCCCCCAACAGCCCATCGTGGTTGTACCAGGGTCTAGCCAACGACTGGGCCACCTGGCTGGCTGGCACCGATGCCAGCATCGACACACTGCTCTATGGAGGATACTACTCGGCTCAGATGATGCCAGGTGTCCGCGTCATGTCGCTCAATATGAACTGGTGCAACAACCAGAACATCTGGATGATCCAGAACATCACCGACCCCGCCAGCATGATTGCCTGGGCGGTCCAGGAGCTGCAGGCCATCGAGAATGCTCACGAGCACGTCTACATCATTGGACACATCCCATCGGGTGTGAGCGACTGCATCGACGTTTGGTCGCAGCAGCTGTACCAAGTTGTCGATCGCTATGAGGACAGCATCATCGGCCTGTTCTTTGGCCACACTCACCACGACCAGTTCCAGCTGTACCACGATGCCGTCGACGGCCATACCACCGCCGTCTCCTACATCGCACCATCTGTCACCACCTACACCAACCAGAACCCATCGTACCGTATCTACACAGTCGATGAGGAGACTGGCTACTTGCTCGAGTCGTCCACATACCGCACTAGTGTTGCCGAGGCCAACCAGCAAGGCACACCAATCTGGGCTCTGGCATACAACGCCACCACTCTGTACAACATGCCTGACCTGTTCCCAGAGACCTGGCAACGTGTCGCCGGTGAGATTGCTGCCAACTCCACCCTGCTTGAGACATACTATGTCAACTACTACGCCGCTGCCCCATATGCCACTGAGAATCCATGCACCAGTCGCAGCTGCAAGCTCTACTACGAATGTGAGATGAACTCTGGTTACTCTGCCCAGATCACCAAGTGTGAGTCTTCCAAGACCCAAGGTGACCTCCAAGCTCTTGCCGATCTGCACAACTTCCGTCAGGAAGTCCCAAGATCATGCTAGTCTAGTTAGGCATCGTTCGTCTGTCCGATAGAATACTGAATTCATGTGATTGAATAAACACAATGGATTCATTCAAACTTAGAAGATACTTACTACTTAATTCCTTCTCCTTCTTATTCTTCTTCTTCTTGTTGTTGTTGTTTTGCCAGTCAGTGGCTGTACATTAACTTGATTGTTAGACGTCATGTGGCAATAGCATGGCGAGGAGATGCGCGTGTCGACAGTTGCTTGGTTGTTTGGTTGGTAATGGACAAGTGCATACACACATATTTACACTCATCCACACACAACAAATACACACAGATGCATCTGAATGTCACTAATAAGGTAATGTTTGTCGTCTAGATTAGCACTTTTTCGAGACGTCTTCAGTCCAGATATTTCAGTCAGTTGCAGTGGAGTGTGTATCGTGAGAAGCAATGATGATGGTGTGTTTGTGGTTAATGTGTGTGTAGATGGACCAATAAAAGTGTGTGTGTGTGTTAATTAACACACTCCAAAGGTGTCAACAAGACAGAGCCGTCTGAACAAGCAGTTCTATTCCTTCCCCTAACACCCTTCGCTGATTTCTCCATCCATCTATTCATCAGCATCACCATCATCATTCAATTTCTAAACTTTTATACATATACATACATATAATTAATTAATATATATATAGCTTATATATACTTATATATATTTATATTATATATATTATGGTATTACAATCATTACCAGTGGCGATGGCACCTGCCAATAGGTCGGTAAAGAGAGCCCAGTCCAGATTGATGGAGTTGTTGGGTTCAGTGGCACCAGGTAGCACATGGCACAAGAAGTTGTTCCTCTTTGCTGCCTTGGGTGGAGGTGTCTACACACTTGTAAAGTATTATAAGACTCAAAAGGAGCGTATGTATCAATGTTTGAGCGAGTCATGTGATCGCAAAGTATGATGATGATGATACTAACATCACATGAATGAATGAATGAATGATCGATATGATACATGTATGAATAAATAGTAAAGACACAGAGTGGATTAGTTATTCAATCACCAAAGGGACAAGAGAGAAAGAGTCAAAAGGTGACAGTGGATGCAGTGTTCTTTAAGCGTTTGGCAAAGATCATCAAGATCATTATACCATCGGTGAGATCAAAGGAGTTTGCCAGTCTGTTGTTCTTGACTGCATTGCTCTTTGCCCGTACGATGCTCTCCGTGACGATTGCAGAGATCGCCGGAAAGAATGCCCAGAACCTGGTGGCCAGGCGCTGGAGAGAGATGGCTCACTACGTCTTTAGGTTCGCCCTGGTCTCCATCCCGGCGGCATTCGTCAACAGCACTCTCAAGTACGAGACTGAGATGCTGGCCCTTCAGTTCAGAAAGCGTCTGTCTGAGCACGTGCACCGCGAGTACCTCGAGGGTGTCAACTTCTACAAGGCATCACATCTTGGAGGTGTCAACAGGATTGATAACGCGTAAGTTAGTCATTTGGCCATCAGCTGACATCAACATTCTCACATAATCACACACTCGTCATCACAGTGACCAGAGAGTTACATCAGATATCGAACAGTTCTGTAACTCTATGAGTAACCTCTACACGACTGTGTTCAAGCCAGTGCTCGACTTGATCTTGTTCACAAAGAAGTTGGTCGGCGTGATGGGCTGGGCCTCGCCAATGCTCATGTTTGCCTACTTCATCATCTCGGGCACACTGAAGAAGCTGATTATGCCACCGTTTGGAAAGCTCACTGCCAAGCAGTCGGAGCTGGAGGGCAACTACAGAACAGTGCATCAGCGTCTCATCGCCAATGCCGAGGAGATCGCCTTCTATGATGGCAGTCGCAAGGAGAGACAGATCATCAACCTCTCCTTTGGAGATATCTACAGACATACTAGCTATGTCAGCTACCTTAGATGTTTGGTTGGAAGTAAGTCACATTCATTCATTCATTCAATCAATCAATCAATCAATCATACATACTCACTCACTCACTCAATCAAATGTAGTATTCGATGGATTCTTGGTCAAGTATTGCGCTTCTATTTTGGGATATGGATGCATGGCACTCCCAATCTATATGGGTATCAAGGGAGCTGCAGGCAAGGACACTGCTGAGCTCACCAAGGACTACATCAGGAACACACAGCTGATGATGGCATTGGCACAGGCCATTGGCCAGTTGGTTCTGCTTGGCAACAAGATCACCAACATGGCTGGATACACTTCTCGTGTGTCTGAGCTGCTCGAGATGGTCAAGCAGATCAAGGAGCGCGGTACATCCACGTTTGTCATTGTCGATGATGACAACATGACCGGTGCCACACCCGGCACCCAATCACCAATCGTCACCGAGCGCTACGAGGTCAACAACAACGAGTGGCTGCTCCAGTGGAAGACCCGCTGCGACAACCTCCGCCAGCTGAAGCGCTCGCTCTCCACCTCGTCCACAATGACCACCGACGCCGGTGGCGGCAAGTTCATCGAGGGCGAGTTCATCCAGTTCAGCAACGTCTCGATTGTGTCGCCGGAGGGTAAGCTCCTGGTGACCGATCTCAACTTTGAGGTCAAGCCCAAGCAGAACGTGATGATCACAGGACCAAACGGCTCGGGTAAGAGCTCGCTGTTCCGTATCCTTGGCGAGCTGTGGCCACTGCACTGCGGCACCGTCATCAAGCCAAGAAAGGAGGACATCCTTTTCGTGCCACAGAAGCCATACCTTGTGCTGGGCACGCTGAGAGACCAGATCATCTATCCACACAACGCCGAGGACATGAAGAGATTCGGCATCACCGACGACGACCTCCAGAACCTGCTGTCCACAGTCGATCCAAACAACACCATCATCAGACAGTGGGCATGGGACGACGTCAAGGACTGGTTCAACACCTTCTCAGGAGGCCAGAAGCAGCGTGTCGCCATGGCCCGTCTCTTCTATCACAGACCACAGTACGCCATCTTGGACGAGTGTACCAGTGCCGTCAGCGATGAAGTCGAAGGAAAGATATACGAGACTTGTAAAACACTTGGAATCACTCTGTGTAAGTTGCTCTTAATATGATTGATCATTCTAATAATATCTCGCTTGATCAATCACTAACTAACACGATCACTCACTCACACCTTTACAGTCACCGTGTCGCATAGACAACAACTCCGTGTTCATCACGATGATGTTCTGATGTTTGACGGCAGAGGAGGATGGGAGTGGACCAAGATCGATCACTCACAGGACCACCTTAACAAACCTCTTTCCTTCAAGTAGGCAGTAGTAGACACACAATAAACTGGACTCCATTTCAGCATAATAGCAGGCGCGCACAATTAGATATATATATATAATGAACGAACACTGAGCCAGGACATGTCATCTGATCGGACGACGACCGTCGTACCCCATACCACACCATTCGTCAGATCATTCCACAACCCACACGCATCACTCAACCAATCACACAGATATAAACCCAGTCCAATCAATCCATTTAATCATAGTCGCTCATACACACACATACACACTTATACCCGACACACTTCCATTGTACTCGTGTTTGGGTAGTACGTCGACCTGATTCCATGATGTCATTCTACATGTAGAAAGGCATGTCATACTACATTGGCAGCATGTGTAGTCTAGCATCAGCAATCAATCATAATCAATCCATCTTACACACTGCCATGCATAGACCGATCACATGTGATTGTATAAATGGTCAAGTACATTCAAGTTATTCATTCATTCATTCATTCATTGCAATCAATCAATCAATCATACATTGTAACACTACAGGGTAATATTACTTCAATCAAACAAACAAACTATGATGATGATGATGGCAACAACATCCAGGAGGATTCAGACAATGGCACTGCTACTGGCATTGCTATGTGGCTTGACAATGGCCAACTATATGGACTGTGTCAATGTAAAGGAGGACGGCGCATGCACCGCCTATCCAAGGAATTACAAGAGCTTTAATCACGAATCCACCAACAACTTCCAGTATAACCTTGGAAAGTTCTCCAAGCCAGTACCAACGCCACTCGGTGACATCTGTGGTCCATCACAAAAGAAGCAACTACCCATCTCATCCATGTACAATGACCAGCATCCCATGGGKTACCTTCACCCCAGGCGAGACCATCTGCTCGCGCTGGATCTCCACTAACTCTAAGGCCGAGTACTTTGGAAACGTCAACTTCTTCCTCAGTCCCAAGCTCAAAGAGAATGAGGTATGTTCGCGACACTCGCGGCCAAACAATCAGTCACTCACTAACTCAATCACTCTTACAAAACAATGTAGAAGAAGGACGATCAGCAAGAGGTATTGTTTGGACATCCACTCACTACAAAGGCCTTTGCCAACTGCTCGACTTCTGTTGACTCGGCCAAGTGTACTGCGTGCTACAAGCTACCGTACAACATTGAGCATGGACTGTACACACTTCAGTGGTTCTGGGAATATGCCCCACAGGACTACTACATGACTTGTGCCGACATCCAGATCAACAAGAAGGCCACACCCAAGCTCACTCGCGTCCGCCAAGGATTCCACAACCAACCATCTGTTGCCTTCTCACCATCGCTTCAGGCCGACTACGACAGAGAGCAGGCAGCCATCAATGAGGAACAACAACAGTTGAACTACGCTCAGCAGATGTTGTCCGCCGCCAACATTGACCCATTGGCCCGCGATGCCGAGCAGCAGAGAATCAACAACCGTCGCAATCAACTCCAGGGCTTCCAGAACCTCGTGAATGATAACAGACGGATGATTAACAGTGGCTTGGAGCCAACATATATCCCCGACCCCAACCAACCACTGGTGATGTCCAAGGAGAAGAAGAGTCAGACCATCAACTCGGAGCGAACAGTGTCTGCTGTGGGCGGAGGCGTTCGCACCCAGACCGACGAGAAGGTGCATACCGACAGCCAGAAGGAGGCCATCGATGGCCAGTCAGCAAAGGTGGCCGACTCTGAGCGCCATGTTATGACACAGCAGGATGCCAACGGCTTCCAGGGTGCGTCGCAGAAGCAGACCGTGGCCAGCGAAAAGGTTGCCAACAATATTGGTGCCGCCACCAAGGACACCGCCGAGCAGGAGCAAAAGTTGGTTCAGCAGCAGGGCGACAGATATATGACCTCCACCCAGAGACAGTCGCTGGCTAGCGAGAAGGCCGCCACTGTGTTTGGCACCGCATCGGCCAAGGACACTGCCACTCAGGAGCAGCTCAAGACTCAGGGTGACTCATTCCATCGCAACACACAGACTGACTCCAAGAAGTCGACGAATGAGCGTGCCGCCAGTCCATATGGCGCAGGTGAGCGACAGACCGACACTGAGGTGCACGCCGCCACCCAGGACTCGCCCAACCACCAACACAAGGAGACCATTGAGAGAACAGCCACACGTGCCTCAATCAATCATGGCGGCGTCGTCCACAATGCCGACGAGGTGAAGGAGGTCAATGCCGTGTCCAACCTGCACGTGTCCACACCAGCCTTTGGCGGACCGCGCGTCATTGGCATGCCCAGCCAAGAGCTCATTCTCATGAACAACGGACAAGCCAACAATGATTATATCAACACCATGGTGTGGGGCCCAGACGGCAGAGTATACACTCGCGACAAGTTCGACATGATGATGGAGGACAATGTGGAGGATGCCGGACTCTTCCTGAGATGTCGCGCAGGCGACTGTATCAACTCGGACAAGTACCGCAGCGTGAACATCTACCTTAAGGGATCGATGGAGGAATTGTCCGGCGCGCAGGTCTCACTGGTTCATGAGAACACCCTCAGACCATACCCTCTGCATCGTGTCACAATGACTGATTCCGAGTGGAATTTATTCAAACTCAACCTAGAATCCGACGTATCCTACAATGGTATTGTGTTCAGCAACCTCAAGTCCATCGAGGAGGGCAGGTACAAAGTTGGAAAGGTCATCTTGTCAGGAATATAATTAATTAATTTTTAATAATAAATATTATTAATTATCTTTGTTGTATTAATCAATCAATCAACTTCGTCATTATTTATTATTATTAATTTCAAAATCAATTATTATCTGTTGGACATGTCGGTGGGGCCCTGACCATGGACCGGATCTATCTTATCAATTTCCAAATTGAACATGTTACAGACTTGTCAATTACCATGACTGGCAGCCACATGTTTGAACAGGGTCTTTTCGCGTCTTGGCACTTCAACTTCCCAAAATGGAACGAATGGTTGTTCATCCACACACTCATCCTCAAACACAAACACAAAGGATGGAATGACTTTACATCACTCACTTACTCACTCCAGAGGACATACCATGTCCCCGGGTCCAGAACAGGACTAACGGCTAATTTTAATAATCCCGAATCTTGAGTGGCTGTCCAGAATAAATAAATGTCGTCTCCCTCTAAGTAAGTACAAGTGTGTGTACTTTGAAGTCAAAGAGAGGATGGACAAATCATTGCAACCTTTCATCTACCATCAATCAAACATATTAAATATTTATTTATACTTGCAATTGTAATTAATTAATCAACTTATATATATATTTATATATATTTGTACTTTTATAGATATAAACAAATCGATAATTTAATTCAATCAATCGACCAAGACTGCATTCATTCGATGAGGTTTGTTGTCAACACCCTGGCGCAATTATCTCGCGTTGAATGTTAATTTCAATTTTGCACGATTGTCACACAGACAGAAGCTTTGGAACCACTTCGCCATCCAACGTCAAATCATCATTCTTGTGTGCGTAATGATTACTCGTCACGCATTTATCTATCATTGATGTGAGCAACGAGACTCACCCCATTTCCAACCCCACACATACATCTATTCCATCTGTCTTGAACACACGTGCCAATGTTTCATTCTGGAGACACCTGGGCAAAAGCAACAAACACACACTTATCCGATCCTTTCCCTGGCAACAACACATCTTGCCACCATCAACCGCCCCACCACCTGCTACGACCCCATCAACATCATCTAGCAACATCGACGAACCATATTAATTGTTTGAGTTGAGTTGATACTAGTTGTGACACACTACCTTACTATCAATCTCACTCTTCCATTCGCGAAATAGAAATAGCAACATCAAAGCAATCAATCAATCATTCATTTGTTTGGTTTGATTATTATTATATTGTTGTTGTTCTTGTTACATTCCTAATATATATATATAAACTTATCTTACCTTACAACACCTGTCAATCATTCATTCATTCATTAACTCTTGTCAATCAATCAAATCAATAGTAGAACATTCAAGTAGTGATTGAACAATAACAACAACATCAACATTAACAGAAGTGTTTAAGGTTGATAACAAACACATGTTTGCAACGATCTTGAGCCTCAAAGGATTCAGTTATAAACATACTCTTCGTTGACTTGAACTTGATTAGGGAGGATAGGATACAGTACAGTACAGACTAGACTAAGTTAGAGATAGAGAGAATATATATATAAAACATAAATATAAATAACTCAACAACACATAACACCAACTTCTTCATCCTGTCTCGCCAGGACCATCCATTTCCCCAATCGAATCCATTCCAACACAATCTTCGACACCGCCACTCACACATTCACACACAACCCCCAACACACAACCTTCCCCATTTCACCGCTCCCAGCCCAACAAGAGAGGACCGAACCAAACCCAATCTAATCTTCTGAACTGAATCAACAACACTCGGAGTAATAATAATAATCAATAATAATAATATCTATCTATCTCAACAACAGACATATATGTAAATATAGAAAAAAGCACGAGTGCCCCTCTATATAATATACCCTCTTCCTCTTTGTGTAGTGCTCAAACATACTTAAACGCGACACAGTCAGTCAGTCAATCACTCACTCACTCCGACTACTACGACTACGACCACGACTACGACTACGACTCAGACAACAAAGGACAAAGACAAAGACACACATAATGATGGACGACTTTTTACAGAAATCAACATCTGGAACATCGTCATTGTTCCAATTGCCACATGAGTTTGCAACGGGCATTCAATCATTGTCTGATCACTCCTCGTTGTTGTTCTCAAACAATAATGGTTCGGGAGGTGGTGACTCTGCACTCAAGAGTGATCTATCACTCTCTCAAATACTCAATCTAAATAATTATGGCGGAGGCGGTCCGAGTCTTGGCCTCTCGCAACAGCTCGCCTCCAACCTCACCAACAACACGTTGACGACGCCAGGCGGACTGATGCCTGACTACGACACACTGGTCAATCAGATCAACACGAGCAACAATATGATACCATTTGGTACGACGCCTACCGACCTTGGCTTCATCCACAACATCATCCAACAGCAACAGGAGCAGTTCAAGAAGAAGCTTGGCGACCAGGCTCCCTTGATGACCGAGAGCCACATCCAATACCTCTTCCTTCAAGAACAACAACACATGTTCAAGCATGTAGTTGAGGCTGGAGGCATCATCGCGCCACCCAATGTCCTATTTGGTGTCCAAGATCAACCTCAACAACAAACGAGTCAACAGCAGCCACAGCAACAGCAGCAGCAACAACAACAACATCAACGATCACCTCAAGAATCATATGCTCCAGTCAAACCATTCCAATTCTATCAACATTCGTCATCGTCGTCGTCATCACCTGTGGCCAACAATGGCCAGGATCTCCAAGTACTGCCCATGCCATCTGATCTTGACGACTCAATCCACTCTGATGAGCCCGTCATATTCAAGCGTCAACGCTTGACAATTGACGACTTTCCAGTGATCCAGACACAACCAGTGCCACAACATCAAATGTCTGCTGCACAAGAGCACACCCAACAACAACAACAACAACAGCAACAACAGCAACAACAACAAACATCACTCTTCCATCATATACAACAACAACAACAGTTGCAGCAAAGACAGATACAGCAGCAACTGCAACAACAACAATGTATAAAGAATCAGTACAGCGATGACGATCCAAGGAAGTGCAAGTCCAATCAGAACACGGCCAGCAAGAACTATCGCCAGCGCAAGAAGGATCACATATCAGAGGTGGAGCTCAAGGTCAAGCAGCTGTCGCTCGAGAACGACCGACTGCGCCACGAGAACCTGATGCTGAAGAAGGGCGACCTCACGGACCTGATGCGACCCGAGCCCACGTTCAACGAGGTGTTGAACGAGGTCAGGCAACTGCTGGAGCAGCTGCGGATCGCTGTCATCAGCAACGATGATGCCTCCATCGAGTACCTACTCCAGCTCTACTACTTCTCCACTCAACTGAGATCAACAGTCATTGAGCGCGAAGTCGAGAAGATTGTACATCCATATACTCAGGTAAGTTTGATTGTTTGATCGATTGATTGATCGTGGTACTCATACTCACTCACTCACTCAATCAATGATGATCATGAATAGGCACGTCTGGCGATTATGGGATATAGATCATCATCAGAGACATCAATCATTTGTGGAAGACCAATGGCTTCGGCTGGATGGTGGCCAAGCTTCATGGAAGAGGTTTGCATGAGCGAGCAGCAAAGACAAGCCTCAGAGATTCTGTGGAGCGATCACTTGAAGATCCATAACGAATTGCGTGAGGAGCGCGATAAGTTGGATCGTGAGATCAAGGACCTCTTCCTGCACAAGCTTGTCATCTGTGGCATTGTGGACACACGTGCCTACCCTCGCACACCAATCACACCCAACAGCGACATACTTGGCGCGATTGGCCAGTCGGCGGCGCTGTCTGTTGCGCGTCCCGACCATTTTACCAATCCACCATACGCCATACCCTCGCATCAGCCCAAGGAGGAGGCCGAGCGTCCCTGTCACTACGACGAGAAGGGCAACATCCCAATCTCTGAGTTGCTGGACCTCACACGCAAGCTGGAGCAACTCAAGAAGAACTTTGTAAAGCACAGGAACCTGATCTGCGACACGGACCTCGTTCTGTCCACCATCCTGACGCCGGTGCAGCACGCCAAGCTCATCCTACGCATCAACAGTCTGACCTGCTACGATACGGGAATCGTCGACACCATCACCAAGGTGTGGGGCACCATCCACAACACCAAGACGGACGGCCGCACATTCATCCAGTCGATGCTGCCCGACGAGGAAGGCAAGTCCGAGTTCCTCGACTCGTTCCACAGCCGAACCAAGCCGCTGTCGGCCGGCTACGGTCCCATCCCCATCGTCCAGCTCGAGAACCTGCTGTCCACGTACGAGCATCTCTACCAGAGCATTTACAACATACCACCACCAGCACAACTACCCCAACTGCCGTCGCCACACAACGGCAGCACCAATAGCAGTTGCTCTTCAGATTCAATGGCACCTGCTAATAACAACAAGCTCAATCAACAACTTAGCTCCCCTTCACAATTCTCTCTTTCCTCTCCTACCCCTCACTCACCCTCCTCTCCCACGCCACCCTTGAGCGCTACTGCTGGCGGCCAACAGGATTGTCAATCATCAAGCAACAACACCAACTCATGTTCAAGGTCAACATCGTCCCCTTTCCAACAACAACAACATCATGATATGTGTAACAATGTAGTACCACAACAACGACAACATTATCCACAGCAACAGCAGACACAGACTCAGACACAGACGACACAGACTCATACATCAAGTCCATCACCTCCAGGAGGTATATCAATTGGTAACTCCCCACCCTCGTCTGTGCCATCCACCAGCTCACCACTGACTGTTCCTCAGTTTGATGTTTGTGTGCCTCCACTTCCAGCAACAGCAGCAGACCAAGCCTCCACCAATAACAATAGTTCGCAACCATCACATCAGCAGCGCAACAACAACCACCCAAGTGGCAGTAAACCCAAGAAGTTCCAATGGTACAGTTATGTTGCCAAGACAACGCCACAAGCCAATACGTAGTGACATGATCAAGATCTTCAAGCCATAGCGATTGATTATTGGTTTGAATGGCTCGTGGGTACGACCTATCACAAGCACAGCCACCTGTGGGGCAATCATCCATTGGACCAAGGACTCAGTGAAGGGAGGCCCTCCTTCATTAATTAAAAATCTATTTCACGCACATCACTGTTTTGTCCTGATCAAGCCCCACCATTATGTTAATCAGACGACATTTAGAGCATCTGATGGCTTTTAAAGCCACTGATTTGACTTGAATTGACTTTTAATGGGTCTGGAAAATACAAAAAATGACAAATGATCAAATCTGAATGGATGTATGAGTGAGTGAAGATGGACTGAAGGAAGGTGATAAAAGGACTGATCAGTCAATCAATTATACTTCATAACATACTTGTTGTAATTATAACTTTAAATCACATACTCAAATAATAATAATGGAAGGAGAAGACGTTCAAGCTTTGGTCATTGACAACGGTTCCGGAATGTGCAAGGCCGGTTTCGCCGGAGATGATGCCCCCCGTGCTGTGTTCCCATCGATCGTTGGTCGCCCAAGACACACTGGTGTCATGGTCGGTATGGGTCAGAAGGACTCCTACGTCGGAGATGAGGCCCAGTCCAAGAGAGGTATCCTGACCCTCAAGTACCCAATTGAGCACGGTATCGTCACCAACTGGGATGATATGGAGAAGATCTGGCATCACACCTTCTACAACGAGCTCCGTGTCGCCCCAGAGGAGCACCCAGTCCTTTTGACTGAGGCCCCACTCAACCCAAAGGCCAACCGTGAGAAGATGACCCAGATCATGTTCGAGACCTTCAACACCCCAGCCATGTACGTTGCCATCCAGGCCGTCCTTTCCCTGTACGCCTCTGGTCGTACCACCGGAATCGTCATGGACTCTGGTGATGGAGTTTCCCACACCGTCCCAATCTACGAGGGATACGCCCTCCCACACGCCATCCTCCGTCTGGATCTCGCTGGTCGTGACCTCACTGACTACCTGATGAAGATCTTGACCGAGCGTGGATACTCATTCACCACCACCGCCGAGCGTGAGATCGTTCGTGACATCAAGGAGAAGCTCGCCTACGTCGCCCTCGACTTTGAGGCTGAGATGCAGACTGCTGCCTCCTCATCTGCCCTCGAGAAGTCATACGAGCTTCCAGACGGACAGGTCATCACCATCGGTAACGAGCGTTTCCGTTGCCCAGAGGCCCTCTTCCAGCCATCCTTCCTCGGAATGGAGTCTGCCGGTATCCACGAGACCACCTACAACTCAATCATGAAGTGTGACGTTGATATCCGTAAGGATCTCTACGGAAACGTCGTCTTGTCCGGAGGTACGACCATGTTCCCAGGCATTGCTGACCGTATGCAGAAGGAGTTGACTGCCCTCGCCCCATCCACCATGAAGATCAAGATCATTGCCCCACCCGAGCGCAAGTACTCTGTCTGGATCGGAGGTTCCATCCTTGCTTCCCTCTCCACCTTCCAACAGATGTGGATCTCCAAGGAGGAGTACGACGAGTCCGGACCATCCATCGTCCACAGAAAGTGCTTCTAAACAAACACCTTTATTGTTTATCAATCAACATTGTACAATAAACTTGTATTCTTTACCTAATGTACATCTTTGATCAAATGTGTGCATGTATTTTATAAGCATTTTGTCCAAATATTTGTACCAAATACGCCCTAGAGGGAGATCACAATCTGAAAGATGAACATCACTGGCGCCAATGAGTCATAGGTGGCACCCTTTTCATCTTCCAAGCACCGGACAAGAGTTGGAGTGTGTAGTCGGGATCCACAGCATCCTCCAAGAATCAATCTCCAATCATCATAAGATATCTCGAGAATACCAAATAAATAAAAATGATATTATATTAAACCCCAGAAGGATAGAGCCCAGGTGGACCTATTACCCATTGGTAGTCCAAAATAGGAAATAGTAATTTATATTTGCCTCCAAAATTTATTCAAATTTAGAATCTTAAGATCGTTACTCCTTGTTTAGTAGTTTAAACCGCTACAATGTCTAAACTAGTATCCTATGTCATTCGTTCAATGATAGATAGATAGATAGATAGATTAATAATGAGATAAAAGATAAATAGTATAATATAATATGTGTATAACATAATTCAACTAACAAAGAAATAATATAAAATTATTAAAAGCAAGAATGAAGGACAATAAGAATAATTTAATACTTTTAAGAACTAAGATAATTAGAATATTACCATTGGGAGGTGGAAAATATGATAGTCTATTAGATTTATTCAATAAGTCAATGAAAGAGCGAATTGATATTAGACCAGGTCAAATTAGAACAAAGAAATTAGATCATTTGGATACATATAATAAGATATCATCATATTTGACATCGATTGGTGATCCCAGAGCATTGGACAAAGCATTCATCAATGTTGCAACAAAATTCCATACAAGTCATGATCAATCAATAGAGGATTCAATCAAACTCACTATCAAGGCGGCAAAGATCAACCTGTCTGATATGCGACCACTCGATGTCTACATGGCTACCCCGCGCCACAAGTCAATGATCAAGGCAATCCCAACATTGAAACGTGATGACAAGTTGGACACATGGATATCAAAGATCGAGAACCCATTGATACCCGAATCACTTTGGTTGGATGTCGCACTATATAAACTTTCTGATGAGGTCTTGGAGTCAATGATCAAGGCAGAGTTCAAGGTCAACAGTTGGGAAGTGTTGAAGGACTCGTTGAAGCGGGTGACACGACCACCATCAGTATTGACTCAAGATCACTCAAAGAGAGTAGCATGTTCATGCTTAAAGACTGGCGTCTCAGTGGACTCTTTCAATCGATACTTCAATTCACAGTTGGACAAGTCATGTCTGACGAGATGTACATCGACAGACTTCTATCGACTTGCGATGCCACCTGGTGTTCGATCAGATCCATTGTTCTCCAACCCTACCAACACATTCAGTCAACTACAATCTCGCGCACAAGTTCTTTACAAAGATCACAACAAACTATTTGACAACTTTTATGGATATGATCGTGATGGCAATCCCATCACAGTGCCATGTCGCGAACAAGAACATGTTACAAACAACAAGAGGAAGGTCAACACAGATGATCATTGTTCAAAGAAGGTCAAGGTAGCAAGTCCCGTTCGACAACGACAACATCAACAACGACTGCAAACATTGGATACAAAGGATTTGGATGGTGGATCTTCAAATCCTTTCTCATATCCAGAGCATAGAGGATTCGGTATAACGATAGCACCTTGTGGAGATATGTTCTGGTTGGTACATAAGAGGTTTGGTCCAGTTGGTGATCCTCATCATACCGTCGTGGTCATCAATGGTCAACCAGTATCACCGTTATCAATCACCAAGACAAGTCTTGGACAAGAGATGCTTGTTATCGTCCCACCCGATACTCCACGAGGAGTAGATGTAGACATATATGTATATAACGACGAAGGACATCTTCTTAAATTCGGTCCTGTAATATTTAAATTAAAAAATTAATCAATCACACATCATTCTTCTTGCTCACGATCACAAATAATAATAATGCACATACTATTACTTCCTAACATATTGTTTATAGAGTTGTTCAGATTGTTGAATGACGATAGTCATACACAACAACAAGTGTCATCATCACTGGACTCTTGGTGCCTGGCATTGACTTGTAAACAGTTATTGAATGCAACCAATGTTGTCTTTAAACAGACTGTGAAACAACAGAATGAACAACGCCAATACGAATACTCAAATCCAAAGACAATGTCAATCAGAGAGAGCTATCAATCTGAATCTGACATGCCCACTATCCCATTTTCAGTAACTTCAATTGATGTTTACTCTGGCACCGGTGAAGGTACCAGACATCAAGCTAGCCTACTGCACAGCCTGCCGCCATCAGTGACATCATTGGTACTGTACTCTCACAACAAACCAATTGATCGTCAACTACCCTCGTCATTGCTATCAATGACGATTGGTGGTGACCATCCATACGATCATCCCATCAAAGGTATACTCCCTGGGGCACTCACATCATTGACTCTGGGTATCAAGTTCTATCAATCGATCAAAGGAGCACTGCCATCTTCTTTGACATCACTGACCTTGGGCCCAATCACTGAGAGTCTTGCTGGATCACTTCCAGAATCACTCACTTATCTATCTCTGAACAGTCATCTCGATGATGAACCCGAGTTCATTAGGGAAGCGTTTTCACCTGGTCCCGGAGCACTGCCACAAAGTCTGCGATCACTGAGCATTGGTAATTGGTTTAACTATAACATTGATACACTGCCACAAGGCCTGACCTCGCTTACCTTTGGTGATTGCTTCAATAGTCCACTCCCAAGCCCGCTCCCACCATCATTGGTCACGCTTGAGCTTGGTTGCGACTTTAACCATCCCATCGACCAAGTGCTACCTCATTCAATCACCTCACTTCGTTTTGGCACCTATTTCAATCAGGTGCTGATCAGGCCACTCCCAGACTCTTTGACATCACTACACCTTGGCCATTATTTCAGCCAAACGATCGAGCCACTACCTTCATCCTTGACATCATTGCGTTTGGGTGAGAGGACACTTGCATTGGTCTTGCCTCTGCCACCATCACTCACCACACTGCGAGTTGGCGAGGATAACTGGCGCATCCCACCATCACAAAGTAAAAGTTGTCTAAAGACAATAACATTCTCATCAAACGCATGGTTGGATTGTGTTGTTAAAGGAGATGAAGATGTACATGCACATTATCCCGAGAACATAGTTATCGAGTATCTTACACAGAGTAAGATACAGAAGGTCATTGGACAACGTCAATTTCTAAAGCCATTGAATTCATTGACTGTGGAGATGTACAGACAATATAGAAATCATGATGAGGTGGAAGCAGTTGTCAAACTAGTTCCCAATGCCAAGACATTTCATTTAACAACCAGGGATAAAGATGAAGAAGAAAGAATAACAGAAACACATTGTTGTCGATGGGTTGTCAAAGATAGATTAGTAATATGTTGCAGGGGAGGATATATGCACTTCCATTCCTTACCCTCCCTTCGACATACCCAAGTATTTTAAAAATAAAGTAATAGTAACCAACCCTTACCCTTACCCTTGCCCTTGCCCTTGCCCTCGCCCTCACCCTTGCCCTCATTCATATTATTTACTTGCATTCAAAAAAGGCGCCACATCTACTTTATTTGTTTCATTCAAAAGATAATCATTCATACATATACATATATAAATATAACACATAAATAAAGAATGGACGCCAATAAGACAATGAGCATTGAACGTGAGAAGAGGATGATTGACTTGTTAACTGTATTCAAACAGATAAAGAGGAATGAATCAATTGCAAAGAATATGCATAGTGGACGTAGAACACTGATAAAGAGATTGAATCTGATGAGAGGACGTTTCTTCTATCCAGCTACAGTGCATCGTCGTGTTGTACCATCCTATTGCACATTGGTTAGGAACACTGCCATCAACTCATTGACAGAGGATGAACCCTCTGACGAGTTGATCATGAAGAAGATCGTTGAGGTCAAGAAGTCAATGGTATGTAGAGTAGCTCACAGCACATAGTTGACACACTCGGCCTGTCGTTAACACCCTACTTCATCCATCAACAGGATATGGACAATGCCAAGGGCATGGTCGGACAGTTGTTCCAAAACTATGGAATGCCCTCGTTCCAAAAGGCAATGATGGAGAATGGAATTGGCGCTGATGGTGACGACAGCGAGGATGATGACGAAGAGGATGACGACGAGGAGGAGGAAGATGACGAACAAATGGAGGATGATGAGGATGAGGAGGATGACGAATAAGAAAAAGACCGATAGTTAAATTAGACTGACTGCTGGCCTGCTCAAACCTTATGACGATGTGTCAGAATGTCCAACTCTAAGAAGTGAGGACATTACCTACGATTAACAAATGGATCAATCAATCAACAACCAGGGTCGTGTTGATGTTTTGTAATCTTACAAACTTGCAAGCATCACCATCACAATGTCTGCGCACAATACTACTAGTCGATTAAATACACGCACCAACGTTGACGATACGAAGGATTTATATTATAATAATGTACAGACTGATGGACAGGACATCATGGCTCACTACTGGCAAAAGAATCCCTGGAATAGTACTCTGAACCGGCCTCTGTTGACATGTTTGCCGTGGTCATCTCAATGCTGCTACACGAGGTCGTCTTTTGCAGATTATGTGATGAATCATTGGTGCTGTTGCTGGAGCTGGTACTACCACTGGTGTCGTGATGGTTGGATGGTGCCAGGATGAGTATCATTGTGACGATCCACAATGCCTCTAGACCCCTGGCCACCACATTGAACAGGATCACTTCGTACACTGGACCATCATCACGGCTAAGATACAACCAGAGTAGGACACCCAATGAGCAGAATGAGATGATGATAGCGACGACCGATATGATTGATACCTTTTGGATCTTGAACTGATTGCTCTGACTACATACACTATTCTTACGACTATTTATGAACCTGTACTCATTCCAAATCATCTTTCCAAAGATACCATAACCAACTCTTTGGAAGGGAAACATGATTGTGAGTGATTGTCATTAGGAAACAAGGATTGAAGGATTGGATGTACATAACCTGCCATGATAATAATAGATGCAAATGTAATGTTGACGGCAATTGAGGTCACTCGGAAGACGTAGAAGAATAGTATCAAGAGGTATAGGACTACTTGGATTCCAATCATCAGTTTGCCAAGCATTGGAAACACTTTTTCCACCAACTTTGAGAAGTTAACATAATTGATGATCTTTATCCACAAGTATAGGGTATTCAAATATGAACTCAGCAAGAAGCATATTGGAATACCTATCAATGCTGTCATTACCATCCCCTCCGCCTCCATAATTAGTCCAATTGATCTGGCTATCCTTCCTATAATATGATCAATCAATCAATTAGTAAGTAATTGTTTCCAGGATGAATGAATACTTTGGCAAACTTACCAGCACATGCCAATGATATGAATATATATGATGTTATGTACCAACTATAATATTGTCGTCTGATTAATAATTGAATAAGTCTATATAAACATATTCCTAAAGGTATTGAGAATATTGCCAAGAATAGATATGCAGCTGATCTACATCCTTCTCGATTGCAACCAGAATAAGTAAAGTTTGGATCACAATAACATGATGGTTGTATAGGATCTTGATCTCCAGATGATGAAGTGGATGATGTCGATGAAGATATATTCATTGTGATATTAAAAATAATAATAATAATAATCAAAGGTGAATACTACTACATATGGATTAGGATTACTTTTAAAAAATAGAGTTTCTCTGGAAACCATCAAGATATAGAGGATACCGCCAGGAATCAGGAAGGATGACACAACGTTGTTAAGGTTGTGTTGTTGACTTGATTTATACCTGATTGATTCCACTTTGTTAAATGAACGACCACTCGTGGGCCTATTTTCGTAATAATGGGCAGATTGTTAAGCTGGGTGTCATTCATCGACATTGGGCGCTTACATCTCTTGGAATCCATGCTCACGAGTCATGAATGGAGCCTTATCATGGGTGTTGAGGTTGTTGTTGATTTGAATGAATGATTGACATCTGATACAACATTACTGTTAGTACACGTCATACCACATTGACAATACATACAGTTAACATTCAATGAATGTTTGCATGGATGAACATCATGGATAGCCAATGTTTTGGCCCCCCCCTCTATTCAGCCTAAGCCCTCGAGGTCTCGACGATTGTGATCCTTGCAGGTTTTGCATTGGAGCTCATCAACATCGATGTAATAATAATAACAACATTCTATTCAAATGAATCCATTTATTATTATTGGATAATATCCTTACAAAGTAACACTCGTTGTGGAGCTGTTGTTGTTGTTATTGTTGTTGTGGTGTTGTTGTTATTGTTTGATTGTCGCTGCATGACAATGTGTGTAATGTACGTTTGTGAAGAACGAAGACTTCGTTGTTGTTGTCGTCAACCCTATTTATCTTGAAGTGTCCAACCATCTGCTCGCTTCTTGTTCAAGAATGCTCTTGGCTCCTTGGAATGATCATTCTTAACCTTTAGTGTCTCAACCTCCAAGCCTATATTCAAGAATGCCGTCAGCATCAGGTTCAGCTCACGCTGCTGAGCCTCCTTGGCCTCCTTGATCTGCTTGGCAAAGCTCTCCAGACGCTCGTCCTTCAACTTGATCGTGTTCTCCAGCTGTGCGATATGTTCTTCCTTGACCAGCATCTTGGCCTCCTTGCCCTCGCCTTCCTTCTCCTTCTCGCGCAGGCCCTTGATCATCTTCCTGGCGGCTCTGAGGTAGCCCTCCAGCTTGTCCTTCTCCTGGACCAAGTTGGCGATCGTCTCCTTTGACGCAGCGTCCATTGTGGACGTCGACTGCTTGTTGTACAAATCGACGAGCTGTGCTCGTAGCTCGTCCACCTGCTTGGCTGACGCTTCCAGTTGCTTGTTCTTCTCCAGCAGCGATGTGTTTGCAGTCTCAACATTGACCTTCATCTTCTCCACCTCCTGGCTCTTCAATTGAGTGTTGTTATTCATGTCCAATATCTTCTGATTAAGTTCTTGAATGACAATAGATGATTGATGATGTTGTTGTTGTGTTGGGCTCGAACTATATCATACATGTTAGTAAGGATGATTGATTGAGTGATTGCCACTGATTGATGATATACGTACGCTGATTGCATCAATGCCAACTGCTTTGTCAACTCCTCCTTTGCAGCGTTGGCTTCTTCCAATTGTGTCTCAAGCTCTGGTAACTTGTCAATCGACTCTTTAAATCTCTTGTTCTCTCTCTCCAATCTTGCAAGACGTTCCTTTGTGGCAGAGTCCATAACCTGGTCCAGTCCTCCACCAGATGCAAATGGTGATGATGTAGACTCCAACACTGTACACGATCATTAGTCAATGTCCGTGCTCCACCATCATCATCATCATAACTTACACTTTGAATCACTATCCTGCTGTAATTGCTCAATCTTTATGCGCTGACTATCGATCTGTCCGCTGAGAGAGGAGTGATCCTGCTCGAGTTGTGAAAGGGTGAGTTGGAGACGATCGCGATCCTCTGTGATTGACTTGAGTGACATCTCCAGCTTGGTGTTGTCGATCTTGAGCGACATCAACTGCTGCTTGGTGGTCTCAAGCTGTGTCTTGAATGAGCTGCTCTTGCGAACCTGCTCCTCGAGGTCGAGAATCTGATTGAGATAGTTGTCGTTGTTCTCCTCCAGCGTCTTCATCTGTCGCTTTAGCTCGGCAATCTCCTCCACCTTGTGTTGATACTTCCTGAGCTTGTCCTCGGTGGCTTCGGCGTTCTGCACCTTCTCGCGCAGGATGTCGATCTCGTCCCTCAGGTCCCTGTTCTCGTTGGCCTGCTTGGCGCTCTCGTCCACCTTCTTCCTCAGCTCAAACACCTGCTTCTCCTTGTCCTCGATCTTTTGCTGCAGGTTGTTGATCTCCTCCTTGACGCGTAGGTCGCTCATCATGTTGAGTGACGACTGTTGCTTCTGATCGTCCAGACGCTTCTGCGCATACTCGAGTGACTGCTGCAGATTGGAGCACACCTCCAGCAGGTTCTCCTTCTCCTTCTCCCAGCCCTTCTTGTCCTGCTCGCCCTGTGTCACGGTGATGGTCAGCTCCTCAATCTCAACCTGCAGCTCAGACTTCTCCTTTTGGAGTTGAGTGATCTGTGACTCAATCTGAGACAATGTGTCCTTGACGTTTGGACTGGACACTGACCTGGAGTACACATCGCTGATTGAAATGAATGGGACAGTCAGTCAGTAGTTGCATCACCAGCACTCATGTGCTCGTTGGTACGTACATTGGCTCCTCGCCAGCATCGAATGAAGCGCGTCTGTTCTCAGACATCTGTTGTTGATGGTCAGTCATGATTCGCTCGATGATCACCATCAGGTCGTTCTGCACCTCTGGGTCAAGATCCTGCATCTTGCCAATGTATTCGCCTTTGTTCTCGCATTCCACCACGACACCAATGATCAACTCGATCAACTTGATGATCTCCTCGCGATTTAGATCCCTGGCCAATGAATCAATATTAAGATGTGTTGTCTGGCCTGTCAGACCCAGCTCAACACTAAAGTATGAGTCCAATGATGCCAACAAAGTATTAACATTCTCTGTCCTCAGTACCCAATTATCCTTGGAATCCGATCGCGGTATCAATGTTGAATCAAAGTGTTTCGTAGATCTGTTTGATTGATTGAATGAGGTGAGTGAGTTAGCGAGTGATCAATCAATCGATCAATCATTCATTCATTCATTATAGGTGTATCATACATTTGATGACAGATCTCGTATAGCAATACACCATCGGCCAAGTCTTTGTAAGAGTCACAATGCTCTGAAAGGCCGTCAAATGAGTTGATCTACATTGTTGTCATCATTAGTCAGTCATTGCGCTGCCATCATCAACATCATCTACATCATCATAATCCCTACCCATTTGACTAAGCTTTGATCGACAGTCATTTTTTGTGGTGCTATTATATTATTATTATTAACAATTAATAAGTTAATTAACCTGTCTCTAATGATAATAATAGTATTATGTTAACTTAATGTACAATGTATATGTATTTATATGTATGTATATGTATAACTAGTGTGGTGTGTATCTGTTTGTTCCTACCACCTTGCAATTTATGTTGATCATCAACATCCAATTCATTCGCGTGAATGTGAGAGATGAAGGGGTGATCCCTCAAAAATGGATATTTCGATTGCGAGGTGAAGGGCAAGGGTAGGGTAAGTCGAGGGTTGAGGGTTCATGGATGACCAATCAATCATTCAATCTGATTAGAGTTTATTGTGCCACTTCATGGCAATGTATGGGTCCCACATTAGACCAGTTGCACATGTTGCAACGTCTGCTCCAGCTTGGAGGAAGTCGTCAAAGTGTTGTGGCTGGACGATACCACCACAGGCGATCAACTTCATGTTGTTGAGCTGTGGGTTGTTGTTGATTATGTTGCGTGCTGAGTGCACCCAGTCGAGTGCCGCCGAGCGGATTGGTGCACCACACACACCACTGGTCAGACGGCTGGCGCCGAGCGATGGCTCGCCAGTGGCGGCGTCGGTGATCTTCATGCTGAGCGTGTTGATGCCGGCGATGGCGGCCACACCAGCCTCGTGCGCCCTGCTAAAGAGACGGGCCATCTTGGCCTGGTCGTCCATGACGCCCACCTTGATCACCAGGGGGATGCCGCGTGGCTGCAGCATGTCGACCAGCGTCTTGGAGATGCGGTACACCTCGTCTGGGTTGTGATAGATCTGTCCCTCACCTGTACAAACGTTTGGACAACTGTAGTTGACCTCGACGACCTTGGCGCCCGACTCGATGGCGATGTTGGCCACGTCGACAAAGTCCTGCATAAAGTCGTGAGCGGACGACGCTGTGCCAGTGATCGAGACGATCATGACCTGGCCGTCGCGAATGTAGCTGTTGGCCAGCTTGATGTCCTCGTAGAGATACTGTCTGTCCTTGGAGGGCATACCGAACGAGTTTGTGATGGCCAGGTCCTCGAGCGAGGCGGGTGCGACGTTGGTGGCGTGCAGCACGCCGCCCGACTCTGACTTGTCGATCTGTCCTTGGGGCACGTCGATGTAGAGCACGTTGGGCACTGGGTGGCCAATGTACGGGTTGCTGCGGATGGTCTTGTAGGTGACGACGTCAAAGCCGGCCTCGGCGGCAAACTTGATCCACTGTGAGTTGAGCAGGGGGCCGGCGGGCACACCGAGGGGAGAGGCGATCTTGGCCACGCCCAAGAAGTCGGTCCACTCCTCCCTTGGCTTCCATTTTCTGTCAAGCACCTTATAGTTATCGCTGTAGAATGGTCCCTTCTCCAAGTTCTCCTCCCAACTCTTTGTAATATCATAGATAGGCTTCTCCGAAGGGAACCAATTCATTTGATTTAAGTTCATTGTTGTGTATGTATAAATAAAAATTTATATTATTATAAGTTGATGTTATGTGTTTGAATGAATGAATGAAAGCAGGTTCCCACTTTATCGACTTCAACTTTCGGCTTCATTCAGTTTTATTCTTTGTTGAGACTGATCCAGTCTTTATTGCCTGTACATGTACAAATAAGGTATTGATAACCTTATATATACAACACACTACTGATTCTCTTATATATATACATCACATCACATTTAATATATTTACTCACACTCTTTCTTTCATTCTCTAACTCATCATCATCAAAATCACGGTCTCATTCATCCTCTCATTCATTCATTCATTCATTCATTTATATTCTAATGATACATATAATCATACATTCATTATAACTTTAGTTATCTCTAACCTTTATCAATCATTCACTTACTCACTCACTTACTCTCCAACTCCTCAATCACTCAATCAATGACAATGATGAATTACGCCATCTCACTTAATGAAACGAAAGTAGGATAAACGATCCCATGCCTCCCATAGGAGGTGGCCATCAATTTCAATTTCCGTTGTATTGCCGACAACCATTGCCATTTGCATTGCAGAGTGGTGTGTTCCAAACGAACGAATGAATATGATACGAAGTGTGCCTTCAGTCAAAGACGAGTCCCCGATTGTAAAAGCTTCGGGCCACACGGGAGCCTCCTACATTCAAAATCAAAAAGGAATGAGAGGTTTTTCTAAAATGATTTATTTTTAATTTATTGAATTGAACGATAACGACGAATGCGATGTGTCAACGACGATGAATGGCAGGGATAAAAGGAGAGAGTATCGGAACACTTGTTCTCTTCTTTTCTTTCCAAGACCTACAAACAGTGTGTTTGATCAATTCCTACTTCTACTCTACCTTACCCTATTGTTGTTGTTAATCTCAATACCATCACCAATATACCAATAACGAGTCAACTGTCGACTTGTTCTTACACACTATTTATACGTTTTGGAAAGAAGGTCTCTCATCACCGCCATATTATCACTATACCTATAACTACGCATCTACGAATCAAATAGATTGACATCAGTCTATCCTTTTTTTTAAAAACAACCTAAATACCTACCTATAATATATATATATAATATAATATACATTGAAGCCTTAGCCTCAGCCCCAACAACCTATAACCAACCCCCGATCACACAATCAACTTAACTAATCACTCATTAAAACAAACAAAACAGTAAGTTCACGACTTCAACTTTGTCGCCGCCCGACACACCATCAACAACACATTCGTGCTACTCGCGAGCACAAACACACGCAACATCAAACATACCTGCAAGTGCTCACGCATTATCTCTATCTCTCTTTCTTCATTCTTATTCTCTTTATTCTTATTCTTTCTTCATTCATCTATCCTACCCTACCCTGCCCTACCCTACTTCTTATCATTAACCTTTTGCTTATTCACAGCAAAAGGTATGTGTCCATCATCCATCCATATCCACTCATTCACATCCATCCATCAACTCGCTCGTTCACTAGCTCACTCAATCAATCAATCCAACCTGACTGACGACTAACTAACTAACAAACAAACAAACAAAACAATAGAATATATACAATGTCAAAGGTACTAGACAGAAAGAAAGGATACTTGGTCCTTGAGGACGGATCAAAGTTGGAGGGTTTCGTATTTGGTGCCGAGCGTAGCGTACTTGGAGAGTGCGTGTTCAGCACTGGTATGGTTGGCTATCCAGAGTCCATCAGTGACCCATCGTACACTGGCCAGATCCTGGTGTTCTCCTACCCACTGATCGGCAACTACGGTGTGCCAAGCTTCAAGGAGGTCGACCCCAACTCCAAGCTGCCAGTCAACTTTGAGTCCGACAAGGCGCACTGCCAGGCCATCATCGTGTCCGACTACACCGACGACTATTCACATTGGGCCGCCGAGCGTTCGCTGTCCGAGTGGCTCGCCGAGGCCGGCATCCCAGGTCTCTACGGAATCGACACCAGAGCACTCATCACCAAGATCCGTGAGACCGGCTCGCTCAAGGCCAAGGTCGTCATGGCCAGCGACATGGACGTCATGGTGCCCAAGCCATTCGAGGACATCAACCTGCGCAACCTCGTCGCCGAGGTCTCCACCAAGACCATCCGCACCTTCCAGGCTGCCGCCAACGTTCGCAAGAACAAGCGCATCATCGTGCTCGACTGCGGTGTCAAATACAACCAGCTGCGCTGTCTGCTCAACCGCGGCATGGACCTCAAGGTCGTGCCATGGGATTACGACGTCGTCGCCAACGAGAAGGACCAGGACTGGGACGGTCTGTTCATCAGCAACGGTCCAGGTGACCCCTCGCTCTGCGGTGTCGCCATACAGAACATCCGCAAGGTGCTCCAGCTGCCAAACGCTAAGCCAGTGATGGGTGTCTGCATGGGCAACCAACTGCTCGGACACGCCGCCGGCGCCAAGACACACAAGATGCCCTTTGGAAACCGTGGCCTCAACCAGCCATGCGTCGACCAGAAGAGCGGCCGCTGCCACATCACCTCGCAGAACCACGGCTTCGTCATCGACACCGAGTCGCTGCCAGAGGGCGCCGGCTGGAAGACATATTTCATCAACGCCAACGACTTCTCCAACGAGGGTATCTACCACGAGACCAAGCCATGGTTCTCCGTGCAGTTCCATCCAGAGGCACGTGCCGGTCCCACCGACACTGAGTACCTGTTCGACAACTTTGTCGCCTTTGTCCTCGGTGCCCCACACACCTCGCCAATGAACCACGCCAAGCGCATCGAGCAGCCAAAGGACATCAAGAAGGTCCTGTTGCTCGGCTCTGGTGGTCTGTCCATCGGCCAAGCCGGTGAGTTTGACTACTCTGGCTCGCAGGCCATCAAGGCACTCAAGGAGGAGGGCATCAAGACCATCCTCATCAACCCTAACATCGCCACCGTGCAGACCTCGCCAGGTCTCGCCGACAAGGTCTACTTCCTGCCAGTGAACGCCGCATCTGTCACCAAGGTCATCATCAACGAGAAGCCAGACGGTATCCTCGTCACCTTTGGAGGTCAGACCGCCCTCAACTGTGGTATCGAGCTCTACAAGACTGGTATCCTCGAGAAGTACAACGTCAAGGTCATGGGTACACCCATCGACACCATCATTGCCACTGAGGATCGTGGCATCTTTGCCGAGAAGCTTGCCGAGATCAACGAGCATATTGCACCATCGATGGCCTGTGACACCCTTGCTGAGTCACTTGTCCAAGCCGAGCGCATCGGCTATCCAGTCATCTGCAGAGCTGCCTACTGTCTAGGTGGATTGGGTTCAGGATTTGCCTACAACAGGTAAGTTAACCTTGACATCACAATCATACTCGCGCGAGCAACACAGTCAACTAACATCGATCAATCACAAACAAACAGAGACGAATTGACCAACTTGGTCACAGAGGCCTTGGCCACTTCCAATCAAGTGTTGATCGAGAAGTCGCTCAAGGGATGGAAGGAGATTGAGTACGAGGTTCTTAGAGACAGCCACGACAATTGTATAACAGTCTGCAACATGGAGAACTTTGATCCACTGGGAATTCACACCGGCGAGTCTATCGTCGTCGCACCATCGCAGACTCTGACCGACAGAGAGTACCAAATGCTGCGTGAGGTCGCCATCAAGACCGTCAGACATTTGGGCGTTATTGGTGAGTGCAACATCCAGTACGCTCTCAACCCAGACTCTGAGGAGTACTGCATCATTGAGGTGAATGCCCGTCTCTCCCGTTCGTCCGCCCTGGCCTCTAAGGCCACAGGTTACCCATTGGCCTTCATCTCGGCCAAGGTTGCCCTCGGCTACGACCTCGCCACACTGCGCAACACCATCACCAAGAAGACCACCGCCTGTTTCGAGCCATCTCTCGACTACCTCGTCGTCAAGATGCCACGTTGGGACCTGAAGAAGTTCAACCGTGTCAGCAACAAGATCTCCTCATCCATGAAGTCGGTCGGAGAGGTCATGTCCATCGGCAGGAAGTTTGAGGAGGCCATCCAGAAGGCCATTCGCATGGTCATGGACGGCGGTGTCGACGGTTTCCAGCCCGGCATCTACAAGACCTCTGACGAGGAGCTCGAGCATCCAACCAACAACCGTATCCTCGTGTTGGCCAGCGCCTTTGCCGACGGTTACACCGTTGAGCGCGTGCACCAGCTGACCAAGATCGACCGTTGGTTCCTCACCAAGCTCAAGGACATCATCGAGTTTGACAAGTTCCTCACACAGTACAGAGAGAAGCAGCTCCCCACCGAACTGTTGGTTCACGGCAAGCAGCTCGGTTTCTCAGACAAGCAGATTGGTCGCGCCATCGGTTCGACCGAGCTTGCTGTTCGCGAGATGAGAAAGGCCAACAACGTGCTGCCAATCATCAAGCACATCGACACTGTTGCCGCCGAGTTCCCCGCTCAGAACAACTACCTGTACATGACATACAACGCCACCGAGCACGACATTGAGATCAAGGAGAAGGCCTACATCACCCTGGGCTCTGGCGCCTACCGTATTGGTTCGTCAGTCGAGTTTGATTGGTGCGCCGTCTCGTGTATCCGTACTCTGCGCAGCCTTGGCCAGAAATCCATCATGATCAACTTCAACCCAGAGACCGTGTCGACCGACTATGACGAGTGCGACTACCTCTTCTTTGAGGAGCTGTCTTTGGAGCGTGTGCTGGACATCTACGAGCTCGGAGGTCCCGACTCGAACAACGGAGTTATCCTGTCCGTAGGAGGTCAGATCCCCAACAACCTGTCCATCCCACTGTCTCGCTGCAACGTCAAGGTGCTGGGCACTCACCCAGACATGATTGACAGTGCTGAGAACCGTTACAAGTTCTCGCGTCTGCTCGACACCATTGGCATCGACCAGCCCCTCTGGAAGGAGCTGTCCAGCGTCGAGGACACCAAGACCTTCTGTGAGTCCGTCGGCTACCCATGCCTTGTGCGTCCATCCTACGTACTCTCTGGTGCCGCCATGAACGTCGTGCACTCCTCGTCCGACTTGGAGAACTTCCTGTCTGAGGCTGCCGCCGTGTCGCGCGACCACCCAGTCGTCATCTCCAAGTTCATCCAAGAGGCCAAGGAGATCGAGATTGATGCCGTCGCTGACAATGGTCAGATCGTCCTGTTTGCCATCTCCGAGCACATTGAGAACGCCGGAGTGCACAGTGGTGACGCCACCGTCGTCTGTCCCGCCCAGGACCTCGACAACAACACCATCGCCAAGGTTGAGGAGACTGCCCGCAAGATTGCCGCCGCTCTCGCAGTCAGTGGTCCATTCAACATCCAGTTCATCGCCAAGAACAACGAGATCAAGGTCATTGAGTGCAACCTGCGTTGCTCTCGTTCCTTCCCATTCGTCTCCAAGACTCTCAACGTCGACTTCATCGAGATGGCCACCAAGATCATCACTCGCACACCATACAAGATCCCTGTTCTTGACGAGGTCAACTTTGTCGGAGTCAAGGTGCCACAGTTCTCCTTCATCCGTCTCAAGGGTGCCGACCCCGTGCTCGGAGTGGAGATGGCGTCCACTGGAGAGGTTGCCTGTTTCGGTAACACACGCGAGGAGGCCTACATCAAGGGTCTGATCTCCACCGGCTTCAGAGTGCCAGAGAAGAACGTCCTGCTCTCGATCGGTTCGTTCAAGGAGAAGACCGAGTTCTTGCCCGCCGCCAGAAAGCTCGTCGAGTACGGCTACTGCCTGTTCGGTACCAAGGGTACCTCCGACTTCTACCAGGAGCACAACGTGCCCATCACCCAGCTCGACTGGGACGAGGAGGTCGCTGGCGACAACATCACCAAGAAGATGACCGACAACACCATCCATCTGTTCATCAACTTGCCATCCAAGAACAACTACCGCCGTCCATCATCATTCATGAGCCGTGGTTACTCACTGCGTCGTGTCGCTGTCGACTTCCAGGTGCCACTCATCACCAACATCAAGTGCGCCAAGGTCTTTGTCGACTCGATCCCCTTCATGCGCGGACCAATGGCCCTCGACAAGGTCGACTGCCGTTCATCCAACAAGACCATCATCCTGCCAGGTCTCGTCGATGTCCACGTACATCTGCGTGAGCCAGGTGCAACCCACAAGGAGGACTGGGACAGTGGAACGTGCAGTGCCCTCGCCGGAGGTTTCACCATCGTCGGTGCCATGCCAAACACCAACCCAGCTGTCATGAACGCCGAGACCTTTGAGGTGTGCAGCAAGCTCGCTCAGGCCAAGGCCCGCTGCGACTATGGTATCTACGTCGGTGCCACCTACACCAACACCACCACCGCCGCCTCGCTCGCCAACGACTCGATGGCCATGAAGATGTACCTTGAGGAGACCTTTGCCACTCTGCCACTGAGAGACGACATCAACGCCTGGAGAGACCATGTCATGAACTGGCCTGGCACCACACCAATCTGTGTGCACGCCGACGGTCGTAACTTGGCTGCCATCATGGTCCTTGGATTCATGTACAACAAGCACATTCACGTCTGCCACGTCTCCCACAAGGAGGAGATCGACATCATCCGTGACGCCAAGCTCAGAGGCATGAAGGTGACCTGTGAGGTGTCGCCCCACCATCTGGTGCTCTGCCAGGAGGATATCCCAAGAATTGGCGCCGGCCAGTCTGAGGTGCGTCCCAAGCTTGGAACGCCTGAGGACAAGAAGGCACTCTGGGACAACATCGACTACATCGACATGATCGCCACCGACCACGCCCCACACACCTACGAGGAGAAGTGCTCCAACAACCCACCACCAGGCTTCCCAGGTCTCGAGACCTCGCTGGCCCTCATGCTCACTGCCGTCCACCAGGGCAGACTCACCATCGAGAAACTCAAGGAGATGATGCACTACAACCCAATCAAGATCTTCTCTCTGCCCGAGCAGCCAGACACCTACATTGAGGTCGACATGGACGAGGAGTGGGCCATCCCAAAGAAGCCCGCCTTCTCCCGCTGTGGCTGGACCCCATTCGAGGGCGTCAAGGTCCGCGGTCGTGTTGTCCGTGTCGTCTTGAGAGGCAAGCTCGCCTACCTCGACGGCAAGATCCTCGTCCCCGCTGGATACGGTCAGAACGTCAGAGATGTTAAGCCAGCCGTTGTCAAGAGCGCTGTTCAGTCCGCCCCACACTTGTCTGCCGCCCCAACCCCATCCGTTGAGCTGTCACCCAAGAGACGCCCAATGCAGCTGCTGCCAGGCCAAGTCCCAAGCCAGCCACTCGTCGGCACTTCAATGAAGAAGGACGACGCCATCCAGGTTCTGCACCACGCCTCGGACGCCTCACTCTACGGCAAGCACGTCTACTCTGTCAAGCAGTTCACTCGCAAGACCCTGCACAACCTCTTTGGTCTGGCCCACGAGATGCGTCTCCAGGTCAAGGCCAACGGTGGATCAGACATCCTCGCCGGAAAGATCCTGGCCACACTGTTCTACGAGCCATCAACCAGAACCCAGTGCTCATTCATCGCTGCCTTTGAACGTCTCGGTGGCAAATGTATTTCAGTCGACGCTGCCTCATCCTCGATCGTCAAGGGTGAGACTCTTCCAGACACTGTTCGCACTCTCGAGTCCTACGCCGACGCCACCGTCATCAGACATCCACAGGTTGGCTCGATCAACACCGCCATCAAGTTTGCCAAGAAGCCAATCATCAACGCTGGTGATGGCATTGGCGAGCACCCAACCCAGGCCCTACTCGACGTCTTCACTATCCGTGAGGAGCTCGGAACCGTCAACGGCCTCACCATCACACTGATTGGAGATCTGAAGAATGGCAGAACCGTCCACTCACTGGTCCGTCTTCTCTCACTCTACCAGGTGAAGCTTAACTACGTCGCACCCAAGTCGCTGTCCATGCCCGAGGAGATCATCGAGGAGCTGGCCGCCAAGGGAATAGAGCAGCACCAATACGAGAAGCTCGATGCCGTCCTGCCAATCTCCAACGTCCTCTACGTCACCCGTGTCCAGAAGGAGCGCTTCACCGATCTGGCCCAATACGAGGCTGTCAAGGACGCCTACATCATCACACCCCAGACACTCACCAAGGCCATGGACAACATGATCGTCATGCACCCATTGCCACGCGTCAACGAGATCTCTGTGGAGGTTGACTCTGATCCAAGAGCAGCATACTTTAGACAGATGGAGAATGGCATGTACGTTAGAATGGCGCTGTTGGCTTCCATTCTTGCCAAACAATAATAATAATAGTTTGAGAAATAAATAAATATATATATATAATTAATTAACAAGATGAATACCATCTAATTCAATCCCAACTAAAGTCAGAAATAAAAAAAATATTAATCGCAAAAAATTGCGCATAAAAGATGACAAAAATCACTCCCCATCACATACGCGCATGTGGTCCAATGGTAGAATGTTTCCCTGCCACGGAAGCGATCCGAGTTCGATTCTCGGCATGCGCACTCTTTTAATGTTCATTTTTAAGGATGACCAAAATTTGGGGAAAAAAAAATTCCTTGATCTTGGCGTAAGGGTAGGAAGGCCGTTGATCTAATCACCGAGATCTACGGCGAGGATGGCGCCGCCACCTCTGACCCTCCCGAGATACGCAAGGCCTTCCACTCGTTCTACTCGAAGCTCTACACCAAAGGCGCTGACGACGCCGATGAGCATGAGAGACTCCTGTCCCACTGGAGCCCGGACTGCCGGGAACACCTCCAGCCGCTCGAGGAGCCCATCACGGCCGATGAGGTCTTCTCCGCCATCTCCACCACGGATACCTCAAAGTCTCCAGGCCCAGATGGACTCACTGGTCAGTTCTACGTGACACACGCCGAGGTCCTTGCCCCCTTCCTCGCCACCACGTTCAACAACATGCTGCTCGACCCTGAGACCATCACCAGTGACTTCAAGTGTGGAATCATCCACACCATCTTCAAGAAAGGCGACAGGCTGGACATTGCCAACAGACGTCCCATCACCTTACTCAACGTGGATTACAAGCTCCTCAGCAAGGTCATCAATGCCAGACTCACCAAGCTCCTCGACAGTCTGATCAACCCATTGCAGAATGGCTTCGTCCCTGAGAGACTGATCCACGACAACACCATCCTACTGCAGGAAGTCATCGACACGGCTGCCCAAGACATGGCCACTGGCTATGTCACGCTGTTTGATTTCCAGAAGGCGTTCGACTCCATATCGCATGACAGCATCGAGCGCACTCTCCGCCATGTCGGCATCCCGCCATTGATGGTCGGGCTCGTCATGGCCCTGCTGCGGGGCTCCGTGGCCAGAGTCAGCGTCAACGGCATCCTCACTGATGCCCTGCCCCTGGACAGGGGCACCAAGCAAGGTGACCCTCTCTCCCCGACGCTCTTTGTGCTGGTCATTGAGGCACTGGCAGCAGCAATCAACGCCGACCAATCCATCGTGGGCCTGCCTGTGTCACCGCCCCTCGACACATTAGTCGACGGCAAGAAAGTCTCGACCGTCCGCAAGAAGGTCAAGCTTCTCCAGTTTGCCGACGACACTGCAGCGCTCACCAGGTCACTCGAGGAACTCTTGAGAGTGATTGAATGGTTCAAGGTCTTCTGCAAAGCCACCTCGTCAGCCATCAATGTCGACAAGTCTGTCCACATTGTCCTGGGCGATGCACCAACGTCTGAGCTCCCCTACCCAGTGGCCACCGAACCTGAAAGGTACTTGGGCGTCAACTTCACCAAGCAGGGCATCTACTCCAAGTTCAAGACTCTCATCAGCTCCCTCCGCGGCAGACTCTCGCTCTTCAAGTCTGAAAGCACCACACTGCGGTCTAAGGTTGCAGCTATCAAGTCTTACGCCCTCCCCCCTCTGATGTACCACTTCTATCTGGACTCACCGACCAAGTGGCAGATCAAGAAGATCGATAACCTCACCAAATGGTTCATCGCAGCCCCCAAGGCCACCGCCTACGGCTCCAACTTCATCAACACGATGGCACTGGACCGCGCCAGCTTCCATTGGGATGAAGTGGCCTCAACCTCTGGGACATTGGGCTCAGATCAATTGCCTACAAGGTTTGGGTGTTCAATCGTTTCCTCAACACCCCAGCCCACCTCACCCATGGCTACCTGGACTCGTGGAGAACTCAACACCG